GGCATTTCTAGGCGATCGGCACACGAGGTCCTTTTGAACTCAGCCGGGGAAGATGGGTCATGCTGAAAACTGTTGCTTTGAGGACACGTGGAGATGAGGATATGTACCGTGGGGCGGGGGGCATGCGTCTCAGACGTCTTCACTTCTGGGTCGTTACAGCTCCCTGTCTTTTGCCTGTGATAATCACGTGGAAGATGAAATGATTTGGAATCGTGGACAAAGTGGACAGAGTTCTGGTAACACGGTGAATTCTGTGAGTTGCTTCCAAACAGTCTCAGTGCTGAAGCTATGGTAAGGGAGATAAGGTATACCGTCTTTTGCCTGTAGTAATCACGTGGAAGATGAAATGATTTAGAATCGTGGACAAAGTGGAAGCAACTCACAGAATTCACCGTGTTACCAGAACTCTGTCCAAACAGCTCATAATTTCTATACCTTATCTCCCTTACCATACAGTGCTGAAGCTATGGTAAGGGAGATAAGGTATAGAAATTATGAGCTATCCCTATGGAATAAAGAAATCCATGATGCTATTCACACGACCATTTTCCTCTTTCCACGCCGAGGAAAAAGTACAGTACTCTTATCAGTGACCGAGATGGAGAACTTTTGCACACTTCCAACGATACTCGTTTTGGGAGAAAATGACAGGACTGTAACGCATTGGAATGCTTGCAGGCAGGTAGGGTTAGACTGGGCTCCAGGATCCTGAAAACGTGCTCGATCCTGGAGCGTTTTAAAACAAGCGCGTCAGCCAGTGGATTCATCGGGAAGGAGGTGTTTAGCTCAGACTCCTAACCTCATTTCCTTGAGCTCTGCAGATTTGATGCCAAGGTGCTCGCCATCTGCAGTGCCCGTCCTCCTCTCTCTTCACACCACCTGACCATGAAGATGCCGTTTCACCAGCAGGGGACTGGGTTGATCTGCAAGGGACAAAGAAATGTTTGGAAATTAGCTGTCTGCACAGTCTATGCTGCCGAACGGTTGCTGCAATAAAACAGTCATCTCATCTTGTACCTCATGAATGCTTGAGACAGCACTGCTGCTGGGGTTTCGACGACTGTAAAACACACAGCTGGTCTCAATCTTG